CATCAGGTGGGTATAAAGGCCTCGGCCACCCAACCCGGAACTAAACTGTCTCAAACATACCTCTGCCATGGTACAGATATTATCTATGATGTGACATCCAGTACATGACCCCCACCTGAAAAACTTGAAATCTGGTATGCAAGTGCGGAAGCTGGAGTAGCGGTCGGAGGCTCGACTCTCCTTAGGCTACATAAATATTTAAGCAAAATAATGCTAAGTATAATGCTCAGAGTATTTAATTATATGCTAAAATGCTTGGACTTATCTACGCGATTAAACTGGACTGGACTGGCTCGGAAAAATACTGAAATTTCCGGTACTGGACTCGGATCAGAAATCACGAATCAAAACTGACTCGAACCGCCGGTCGAACCGGCCGGTTCGTGTTAGAGTAGGGTACCCGGCGTTCCAATCTAATTGGACGTATTCTACTTGTAAATACAGTCTATTGGAATTATATTATGAATAAGGCATTTCTTTATCTTAAGAGAAAGCATTTATCTTATAATTGCACTTAAGATAAAATCCCTAGATCACTTATGGTTATAAGGTATGGTTGCGCATAGAGATGGTGATCATGGAACATACCTTGAAAGCCGTGATCTTAAATACAGTTCCAAGTCGATGGATGTTTCGAGATGGGATATCGAATAATCCATAAAAGACTTGCACATAGTTTGTACGCTTGTTGGACAAGAATGTTGCATTCCATCAACATTAGCGTAAGACGTAAGTACATTTATGTGGGTGCTTGTTAGAGAACAAGTTCACTGAACATGACCGTATGAAAATTCTTAATGAAGAATTTATTTAGTTGAATAAGAATTTTCATGTTACAATAGTACATGACTAATCCTAAGACTTGAGGCACAATGGTAACTTTGTGCATATTACATTCTACTTTGATTTATCCTTTTGGTAGCTAGCACTATCGTTTAAAGGGATAAGTTGGGTATTATGTTAATATGTACGGAAGTTTGTTAGTGGCCAATAAAGGATTCGACACTTATGAAGATAAGTGAATTTCCTATGTGTTTCATAGTTATTAATCCAAAGTCCTTGGCCAAGGCAGAGATGAATAGTGATTCATAACAGGGTTAATAAACTTGAAATAGAATCATAGTTATTAAGTCAATTTGGGTTTCGACAACATCATACCCAAGACTTAATCGGGAAATTAGATGTCGAAAGGATTTTACATGTATGGAGTTGTAATCGGAATAGGTTTACTCGCTATTCACTTAATATTAGATTCATGCTACTTGCTAGGTGTTCCCATGAAATGTGGGTTCTTGAATTAAAGGGTTAATTCATGAATAAGAGTTAATGTGATTAACTCAAATTACAAAGAGTTGTAAACCCACTATTAGTATTAAGGTGAACCTAAAAGGTCACACCTATTATGAACAAAGGTGAAAATTGTATTTTTAAAGAGTTAGAATTAATTGACATAATCTAATTTGATTAGATGTCAATTAAAAGGAATATATTAATCAATAAAATTGATTAATTACATTTTGGATATTACTTTAGTAATTAAGGTAATTACTGAATTAATATGTTGGAATTTAAAATTGGATTTTAAATTTCCAAACCAAAATAATAATAATATGATTATTATAATATGGATGAAAATTGGGAAAATGAATATAATAATAAAGTCTTGAAAAGATTCTCAAGATTTATTATTCTATTATTATTTTTATCTTTAAATATGATTTAAGGATTAAAATAATAAATATGATTATAATAAAATGGTGGTTAAAGGTGGTTTGAACCAC